TAGCCAGCAGGCTCCTCCCCAAACACAAACTGGCTACTCCTCTCTGTTCTATATACCCGATGCCAACATTACACACCCTGCTTCATCTAATGCCTCATCTTATTCCCATTCTCTGCCATCAACTTCCTCAGGGCCTCTTCTTTGTAATCATCAGCATCAACAACACACTGGGAAAAAGGGTGAACCCATTTATCATACTGGTCACAGGCATACTCTTACTGCAAACATACCTGTGCATTCCCTTGCTTTGCCTCCATCAGAGCCACATCAGCAACACCACAATCCCCAGCAGCATTCAGCTGAAATTCAATCTACACACCACCACACTTTTCAAAGCCAAGAAGAGTTGAGGAGACGAAAAAAAAAAAAAAAAAGACGGCCAGAGAGAGAGGAGATAGGCTACAAATGGACCCCGGCTGCAAAAGTAGAGAGAGAACAGGTGGAAGTTTCCCTTGGGGAAAGGCAGAGAAATCTTCTTAGAAGAAAGATTTTTAAGAGAAAAAGGAAAGCAATTCACAGAACACAACGTAAAATTAAGAAGCGCATGGCTGTGCTCGTAAGAATCAGGCGTGGAAGTGGAGGAAGTGCTGTGTATGAACTGGGCCTTCCAGGTGGACTGAGGCTTCACAGGCTTCGTTCTCTCAAAGTTCCTCTGAAACGAAAGTCCTGTCCCCTTTGCCTTGGTGCTACCTTTTCACAACAGGTAGCACTTAAAGTTCATTTAGCAGCTAGACATTGTCCCAAAGTGAGAGGCCTTCAGCATCGTTTGAAATGTCCAGTTTGCGGAAAACAGTCTCGCAAGTTCCTCTCAGCTCTCATTCACAGAAGCTCCCATTTAACAAACAGAGCATTTTCTTGTAAACATTGTCCCTGTCGTTTCTGGAATGCAATGCTCCTCACACGGCACAAGAAGGTGTGTCGAGGGACGTTGGCTAGGTTTCGACAAGAGAGGTCTCTTTGTGTTAAATTAGTCATGGGAGCAACATACAAGAGGTTTGAATGCAAAGGAAACTCTTCATCCATGCATATGGAATACAGTCACTGAGTTATGTCATTAAATTCATTTTCATATGAACTTTAAGAAGAGAAGTGTTGGGATTTTCATGACAAAAACTGAGATACCTGACTGAATACACCCTTTGCTCATGTAGACTTTGACTTGTGTGTCATGAGAGCGTTTTCTTTTCTCTCTCAATCATTATATTTCTTCTTGTAACTTTAACCCCTAAAAATGAACACCTTCAACAAACTCACAAATGTATCAAAGGCATTTGTATTGAAAAAATGCTTAGCTTCTCTATCTGTCCAATTCCACACCAGTCTTCTAAGATGAAAATTCTTGTTCAGATTGAAATGATCCTTGGATGGCAATAGATGAAGATTCAGTGATTTGGCTAATATTGTACTGTGCCATAACAATAGGCTATTGCTCACTATTCCTAAACAGATGCTCTGTATAATTATTCTGTCTTTGATATATATTGTGTTGTTGGTGTTCACTTAGAGCAAGTGTGGAGGTGTGATTTTTGTTGATGTAAAAAGTGCATTCAGTATCCGAAGGAGAAAAGGGGGTCCTTTTAGGAAGTTGAGTGTTTTATTTTAAAGAGTATTTAAATTACTGCATGTTGGACATTGCTGTCCATGTATTGAACGGTCAGCGTGAGCGATGAGACTGTGGGCTTACATGGGTACATGACAAATCCAATTGAAAATGTACCTTAAATCTAAATAGAGGAATCAAAAGAAATTAATGTATAATAACAAATGTTGATTAACACTTTGTAATATCAAATGTGAGCCCTGTTTTGATTTATTTACTCTTTTGAAAGAAAACTAGCATTAGGATGGTAACGCCAGCACTTAAACAGGAAGAATATGATTTTCCACATAACCAGTCAAAGGACTAAAAAAAATGTAAGATGTACATTCACAGATTCTTGCCCTAAAGGCAAAAGCCTTACCAAATTGTGACAATTAATACACCACATATTATGGGTAGTACAATGTAGCGTTTATGTATAGAGTTTAAGGGAGGAACTGAAAAATATAAGTGTACTGTAATGTAAATTGTGTCAATATTTTATTATGTTTTTTAAGCAAAGGTCAATTATCTTTTTATCATAGCTACACTTCAGGTAGTTGGAAGAGTGATTGTAAGAGTTATCACTTTAGATCAGGTCTTGATTAAGTGTATTAATGTGTGACATTCTGTCCATTTGCCAACTACGTATCCCATGTACTTTTCTCACCTTATAGAGATGCCATACTACTTATAGCCTCTCTTTTTTTTCTTTAAAAGAAGAAAAGTAATACGTATGTTTCTATCACTTTATTTACACATGATAAGCTGGTTGTTGATGATACCCAAGCATTTAATAAAATTTCAAAATGTTATATCCTTGTTAATTCCATCTACACATTTATAATTTTGTATGTATTTGCTTGTATTAAAATACGCAGACATATTAATTTTACATACAACTGTATTTCATGGTTCCCGATGTTGTTATATTTAACGTTTATTATTATATTTATTGCTTCTGTTAATTTTTGTTACAACGCTTAAATATTTATTATATTCTGTTGCTGTAAGGTCATTTTTACCCTGTAGTATTGTGATTCTTACACATGGAATATTTGTGTCTGACTCTGAGTATACATCCACACAAATACCCTAAATTTGTGTAATTTTTGATGTAGCCCACGACAATGATCCGTGCTGGGTGGTAATTGATTACATGTAATCTGGATTACGTAATCAGATTCCAAAAATTAAGATTATATTACTTTTTAAAATACTCGTAATCAGACTAGAATTACTTTTATATTGATTACATGTTATGCCCAAAATGGCAGTAAATTAATCATAATTCATTGATTCATGAATTCACATAATTTTGTATTTACATGAAATGCAGGGATTCCACCTCTTTTTTCTTTTTCTTTTTTGGTCTCTGACCTAATACATTTACTTGAAGTACCCCCTGAGATTTTAAGTTAACAAGTTAGGTTAATAATAAAAATAGGTTAATAAAAATACAATTATGTTCACAGTTCTCTGATGTCAGTTAATGGTCACATGACATGCAGGAAAAATTAAAAACTAATTTTGTTTTAGTAAATCGTTTTTATTTTAATTTTTTTATTTTAAATGATGATTTAATTAATAGCTTTTCATTAAACTCAGGAACCCCCAGCAGTTCCATCACGAACCCCAGTCTGGGAAACCCTGGTGTAATTAAACATTTAATTCACTTCGTGTTGTTGATTACAAAGAATGGAATATATTTTCTTTCTCTTTGTATTTTTATTTCAATATGGTACAAGATTATCCCATTCAAATCAACATGGTAAATGAGTTAGGTGAAAAGTAATCTAAAACTAGTCAGATTATATTAACGTAAATGTGTAATGGATAACTTACAATTTTTGTCATGTAATTTGGAGTCAGTAAACGACTACAATTTGTATCTCTACCCAGCACTGACAATGAACTACAAAGGATGTGTTGATAGCAGACAGAAAATTGCTTTTTTAAATGACAAATATCATTTAGCCTAATGTTAGAATGCATTGTTGCTCTTAAAATCTCCCCCAAAAATCCATGTTGTCTAATTTTTATTTTATCCACTGAATTGTAACTGTATTGAGTGCCCTTTTTTTCATCATTCTGCACTTGGACATTCACTGGTCAGTGTCTGTCTGAATATGTTGTACAGTTAACCCCAGATTGTTTATAGAATTATAGCCTTCTAGTTGTTGGGAATTCATTTATAGTTTGTAGATTTTATCAACTGCACTGAAGCCTACACAATACACTGTACGGCTGAATGATAGCTAGGTGTTGATGTTGTGAAATTAACTAAACAAAAAGAATGAACCGTTTAGAGTGCTGTATTCATTCTAGCACTTAACGTTGCTCTTTCACATGTTGATCAGTTGGTGGCAGCAAGGATCCTACAACCTACAGCATGAAGCTGGGAGCCCAGCAGAACAACTGTCACATGGAATTAAACGGTGGGTGGAACAAGTACTCCGAGTCCTCGAGTGTGTGTGTACGAGGGAGGCATGGAATTGAAATGAGTCCAAGAGAGACAGGGCTGATTTATTCGCCTATTGTTTTTGTGTAGAGTCTATGGGGAAAACAAATAAAAATGTCCTTTTTAGATGCCTTCTAATCTGTATTTTACATGTTCACATTCTTTGCATTCTACTGTCCTCAATAATTCGTGTGTTGTAGGCCTATCCTTAAAGGCAGACATAGCCTAGTAATATTTTGAGTTGTTATCTGCATTAAGTATTATAATATTTTGATATGCTCGTGAGGTTGGGTTCATCAGGTTCGACCCTAACAAATCTATTTCCTTTATTTCTGAATCTGTTGTGTGTGTGCTGTGCGCGCCACTCTTCGCCTGGGTTCACGCGGTTTCTGTATTCTCACGCGGCTGTAGCATGGGTGTGATGAATGGGCGGAGCGCTGTTCTCCACGGCGGCCAATGGTTGGGCGAGCAGGGAGGAGCCTCTTTTCTCTCAGCCAATGGCAGCAAAAAAGCTCAGCCGTGTCTCCGCGTGCGGACACCATGTGCACTGGAGAGCGCGTCTGTGTTTCTGAGACACAACGTGTAGTTGCCATCTCCTCTCGCACGATGTGATCACGTTTCCCCCGGATTACTAGTGAAGTGAAAAAGTGTGCCATTCGCTTGACAGGTTTTTCCCCAAAAGGTTGCTCTCTGATAGGACTGTGTAGAAACTTGACAGGTTGTTAAATAGACAACTCATTCCATATTTTCACTGATAATTATGATGCTCTTTAAAACGGTCCACTTTCCAACTTAGTAATTATGTGGCCGCATGTTCATGCTGTTCCTGGGTGTCGAACATAAGCATCATCGGGACAGCTTGGAGTCAAATTATTGAATAATTTGTTTTTAATCAGTGCTTCCCTCCCTGAGGAGCGTGCCTGTCACGAGGGGCGTGCCTTATTAATATTAAACAGTGATGCGCCTCTTCATGCAGTGTTCGCGCTTCTACTCTGGGAGGTGTGACGTCACGTGAGCGGCCCGTGTTCGTTCCAGCTGAGCGAAAAGATCGGACGGTTCAAGCTCAAAGCGTGCGGCAACTCACATGCAGAGAGAACTGAACAGAAGGGGGTGACCACAGGGGGAAAAAGCGATTGAGCGACTGCATGGAAAAAAACGTCAACATCCCACCAATCGCACTACGCAGCAGAAATTGACTCAGCAACACTTTCTTCGTTTTGTTTTCACTTGTTATTTTGAGACGACGCATTCAAGAGTTCAGCGCACTCAAGTTATCGTTTGCATCATTGGATTTTTTTTTAATTCTCCCAGATTTTTCCATTCTCCACTGTTCTCTACTGGAACCGTTATATCCGGTCAATTACTTCTTTTTTCCCACACGTTGGACTTGGACATAACGCTATTCTGGACATTCGTCTATATATTTTTTTAAAAGTTCCAACATAAGATAAGCAAATTTTCTGGAAGTACTGGGAATGTGTATTTTTATCCACTCGACCAATCTACAATCAAATGCAAGCACAATGGCACTCTTTGTTTAAACATTTTATTTTCAAATAAAGGTAATTTAAATTGTATTCTTCTTTAATGTCAGATGCTCTGGTGCACGTGAGCCGAGCAGGTCTTTCCTCTGTCTCTAAAGTAAACACGGTCTCGTGTTGCATGACTTCACAACTTTATGTGTACTTATACAGTAGCCTAGTCTAGTGATACGAACTCAGTGCAAATGCATAAAATATTATTATATGTTCTGTTTGACTACGAACTAATGCTAATCCTTTATTTTTGTTTGTTCGTTTCCTCTATGAATCGTCATGTGATTGATTTGACGGCTGCACAATAGTACTGAACCACTCAAGCATCTAGCGGTCAAGGGAGCTCAATCCTGCAGACGTTGGATGATGGCCAGGCCGCTTTCACAGCTCCTTCCCCCGGACCTTCCCTCTGCCGGAGCCAGTCCGCAGTTTGGCAACAGTAGCCAGGCAGGAGGCTCACTTAACGGAGGACACTTAAACTCAACAGCAAACTTAAAGTCGCTCCTGCAGCTTCCCGTGAAGGGCGACCAGCGCGTCAAAGACTGTAGTGAAATGAAGGGTGAGGAAACGCACCTGCTTCTCTGACACTCAGTGTGTGTATTATAATATATCTCTCTATCAACCTTTTGTGTATGCTCCTTTAGACAGTCAAAATAATGTGTTAATAGTCACCATTCCAGTTAGTTTCCTGATTATTACGATTAGTGTGTTTTTTAATGCGTGGTTTCACATGTCAAATGGCAGAGCCATGTGCAATTGTGCGTATCTCTCAGTGAGCCGCGGACAGGACATCACATGTGACTTAGTAGAAGAGATAAACAAAGCTAGGCCATTCAGCCACTTAGCTCTCTACCCAGGTACTTCGAGGTCAGCTATTGGCTAAGCCATTTTAGCCATTACAGACCTGCATAACCACACAGACAGAAGTTTTCCATTGCCTGCAAATACAACGTGATTATTGGAAAACCTTCTTTATTGATTGCTGTCAGTGTTTTGCACTGATTATTTAGTTAGCATTAATGCAAACTGACCCTGAATAGTCAAGTAGAAAATCTCTAATCCAGTGTCAATCCAGTTTCTATGTGAATGCGGCTTGGGAATCACATTATCTAACATTAAAAGCACTGCCATTACTTTTGAACACGTTTAGTTCTCAAACGCCATTTCAAATGATTCAAGAACAGCTTTTGCTCTTTTTGTGTTTGTTTTTAAGCATTGATATTTTAGGTGACATTCTGCAGTTTTTTTTTTTCATTGAGAAAAGAACACAAACTTAAACAAAACACGTTGCAGTTAAATTTTTATGGTTTGTTTTTATACAGTATAACTAAACCAGAAATGTCTCATTTCAAACTGCCTTTACTTGTCCTGGTTTCCACACCAATGCACCGTAAAATGCCTGATTTAGCCTAACTAGTGTTGTTAAGATTTTAGACCCCACCTAAATAGTTTTAGATGGAAACCTTCAGACTTAAGACCTTCAGCCGCCATGTCCGATTTCACAATGTTTTAGTTTCGCATTGTGCCTGTCCATTAGAATTGTTTTTATACCAACTACACTTAACCAGTACCACACTACTCTATTTCTCAGCCTATACCACAGCAGAGCAATGTAGTATTGCAACGTTACACTAGCGTAATGTTGTGTTATACAATACGCGTCTGACTGTTGTGTTACGCCTGTTGCCTTTTGCATCATTTCTTTGGTTTAGCCATAATACGGTAGTTTTGTAACGTTTAGCCATTGTTCAACGGTATTGTTGCTGTACCACAGAGTTAAGCAGTGTCACTGCGGTGTAACATTGTAATCGCTTTACCATGGTCTTTCAGGAATGTCAAAACACATTAATCTTTAGCAAGTTAAGGCTCTTCGTTTTGCATTGATGCACCGAGAGTCAGAGCTATTCACATGTGTTGACATTGCAGAGGTAGTTCTCCCAGAGGGATGTGAAAGTAGCTGGGAAGTGCAATTCTTCCCCTAACTACATAATCTTAGCGCCATCAGAAATATTGATCTCTTGAAATCAAGTCAAGTCAATATGTGTTCATAAGAATAGTTAGTTTAGTCTTTTTAGATTGCTCGAGATTTGACAGTAATATTATCTGCAGATTAAATTGGATTTCACTTTCCTTATAGGTAAGGACAGGTTGGATATGGATGAGGACTCTCTTGGCCGTTGTCCTATGCGCAACGGCTGCAGCAATGGACTAGCCACTGACAGCAATGGAGCAGGCACTGGCAGCTTCTCAAACAGCAACAACAGTTCCTTCCTGGGCCCGTTGCTATGGGAACGAACATTGCCATGTGATGGCGGGCTATTCCAGTTGCAGTACATGGATCTCGAGGAGTTTCTGACAGAGAACGGGATGAGCAGCATGCACAGTACCTCCAACTCCACCTCAGCTCAGATACCCTCGCAAAGCTCTCAGTCGGCCATTCCCAACCAGGGCTCCCAGTGCCTGCCCACCTCGCCCCCACACTGCTCCTCTTCGTCCTCACCGGCATCCTCCACCTCCTCTTCCTCGCCCTCTCTGCTTGGGCTGGACATGCATACGCCGCAAAGCATGATGGGAACGGCAGACTGCTTGCACGGTGAGTTTTCTTTCGCAACTTGCTGCTGCGGAACATAAGCTAGAGAGGATGTTAAAAACCCACGAGATGAACGGTCTGAGGGCAGGCCGTCGAGATGAAGAAAGGAAATGCTGTGGGCCGAAAATGAGGTCTAACGCGGTTCAAACACTTCCCCCATTCTGCTTACAAGAATTCCCCGGGATTTTGGTCCGTTTGCGAGTTGTAAAAAGCACCAGGCTTGTCCCTTGGGTGTGTGTTACTGTATAGATTCAGAGTATTAATGGTTTGGGTGTGTGTGTTTTTATGAGTGTGGATAGATGCTATTTCACTATTTGGATTGTCAAGAGGTTTGGGCGTTTTTTTGTAGTGAGTGTTAGAGGGTGTGCAGCTGTTGTGTTCTATGTGTGTTGTTTTATAGGTATGTGTTAACATTGGTTTTGTCAAATCAATTAATCGCATCTAACATAAACGTTTGTAATTATGTGTGTGTGTATGTTAGTTTGTATGTATATATATATATATACACACAAACACACATATATTGTATTAACAAACTTTTATGTTAGATGCGATTAATCGCAATTAATCGATTTGACAGCACTTTAACATTGCAAATATTTAATCAAAAGTGAAAAGTTTGTGTGCTTGTTTTTGGATGCTACAGTATATGAAAAGAATGTGCTGGTTAGAACTGTATAAAAAGACTTGCAGCAATGAAAATGGGGATATAAAAACATACATAGGGATGACAGAATGTGAAAAGAGAGGAAAAGATTGTGATATAGAGCTGAGAACATGATGGCGATTGAAAGGCTGGTAAGTAAACAGTGAGAGACACACAGGTGAGCCAGAAGCAAAGAATGAAAGGCAGAGACGGCGTGTTTGTGATTGTGCTCGCATGTTTTTAAATCTCCTCCTCTTCTCACACGCTTGGTCCATGTGCTCTCGCTCGCTCACGTGCCGAGACAGGCAGAGCGAGGACGGGGGAGGGGCAGATGAGAGGAGGTATGTGTGTGTGTGTGTGTGGGAGTGTGTGTGACTAACAGACAGGGAGAAACTGAAAGATTGAGATGGAATGACTCAGTGCGAGTTGATTCTGTACTTCCGATTAGATGTTTGTTTACGTTTCTGTAGTGGCTGAGAAGAGATAGAGAGAGAGATTAAAAGTGCTGCTGGTAAATATTTAGAATGTTCAGGGCGATTAAAGAGCACATGCAGAAGCCATCACATCACATATCTCCACAGATTTGATCAAGCTCTCACAAAAAAAGAGGGCCTATGTCAGTGCATGTGCAGCAGTGGACAGTAAAAAGAGGATCATTGCCAAATGGGGTTAAAGTTACTCTTAAGGGTACTTTACAGATTTTAGATTAGGTTTATGGCTCAAACAGATTTTCAAAACATAGCAACAGTAATTTTGTCGTGCTGTCGTGACAGGGTTCACTTTAACCACACACACACACACACACATATATATATAGCTTTTATATAATATTATTTAATATTATTTTCATGCAGGTGTGTATGGGGTTGTAACTTAGTTAAGTTTTTTTTTTATTAGGAAAAATATGTGTGTGATATTATTATTATTATTTTATTTTTTTAAAATATTTTTTTAAATCAATTTAATATAAATGTATATATTTTGTTTACCAGGGTATGGTTATGAGTATGTTTGTGTGTGCATGTTTTATTTTTTAAAATTAATTCTTATTTATCTTTAGCTCATATTATTCCCTTGCAGATGTGTATGTGTATGTTGTTCTAAGTTAAGTATATATTAAATATATTTGAGGAAAAAACAATAATATATGTATGTGTTTGTATATGTATATATGTATATGTATATGTGTGTGTGTGTGTGATTCACTATCAATTTATTTGTGGAATGAAAGTAATCATTTATAAAATGAAACCACCATTTCAATGTTCTGAAATCCAGAGATCAGGGAAGAAATATTGGAAAATGGAAAAACAAGAGACGGATTGGTGGATTGAGTTGTTGTTTGCTGCCTGTTACTGCCCCCTTGTGGGTCGTCTGGGTACAGTTTTGAGAGTCCCATTATTCTGAATGCACACATTTAGCAACGTGACTTAATCAAGGCATCTACTTTGTGTCTACCTTCAGGCACTCCACCAGGCAGCTTGGAGCCAACACCCTCACCATCTTCCACTACATGTCCACCACTCCCTACTCCACCCAATACTAACTGCAATGAGGTGGTGCCGTCCTTTGACCCTGATCCCGCAGACGTCGCACTGTCGAGTGTGCCTGGACAGGAGGCGTTTGACCCACGCAGGCATCGTTTCAGTGATGAAGAGCTCAAACCTCAGCCCATGATTAAAAAGGCTCGCAAGATGCTTGTCCCTGAAGACCTGAAGGTGAGAATCTTGGACATAATTCATATCATTTATCAGATATCCCAAGATATTTATGTTCATAATCTTGCCAGCTGTGATGGTACATGTTTTCCTTATCTCTTGGTCATATGAACATGTGGATTTTGTGAAACGTACTTTTTGTTATAACAGCTTACAGTCAATATTATTGTGTAGCTGTCTTATCTAAGCACCACTTGTCATCTATCACAGTGTAGTTTTTAAAGGTTTTTAGTTTTTAAACGGATTATTTGGTAAAAATGTAGAAATAGTTTCTGCGCCACTTATTCATAGATATTGGATGGAAAATTCCACTCTCATTTTGTCCAACAGGCCTGGCGTTCTTCATGCCTCTATACAAATCCAGTAATGCAAATGTCAGGCAGATGTCAGATGGTGACACTGTGATATTGTCACTCACTGATAACAACTAGATTTCAAAATTAAAATAAGACATTCAAAATCATCATTAGTTCCTTAAACCCATTACTAGAATAGTTTTAGTATTATGAAGTAACAGACAGTTATTTATAAAGTATGTTACATTGACTTGATCATGTCTCAATTCTGAGGCAGATGTCTTGGAAACCGAGGTTCTCAAATATGTCTTTTTTTTTTTGTTATAAAGGGCACGGCAGTCAAAAGGGGGAATTCCTTTGTAATCACAGTGACCTCTCCTCTGGGAACAAATAGATGTTTTGAATACTTGGAAAGGAAGTGACATTCTTTAATGAGTTTTTTGTTTTGTTTTTAATACAGGAGTTATAGTTCACGCCAAAATGAAAACTGTCATCTTTTACTTGACATCATGTCTTTCCAAACCTATGGAACTGGTTTTGTGGAACACAAAAGAAGTTTTTTTTAAGAATGTTTCAAATTATTCACATTTATAAAAGGAAACCAGGAGTTTTAGTGTTCTGAAATACAGAGCTTATGGTAGAAACATAATGCACTTTAAAAATATATATATTTAGCTTTTATTTTTGTTTGTGTTGGTAATTTTATTTTTATTTTAGTATTTCAGCTTTTTTTTCAGTTAGTTGCCAAGGACACATTTCTGATTTTGAAGTTTTTTTGAAGTTTAAGGTTTTTATCTTATATTTATATTTTATTTTATTTTCATTAACAAAATTTTAGCTTTAAGTTTAGCTTTAGTTTTGGTTTAACTAGAAGTATAATGACCAGTAGAATAAATAAGGGTTTCCCAAACTGGTTTTCGTGAGGGAACTGCAGGGGTTCGCAAGTTGATGAAAAGCTGATAATTAATTAAATCATAAAAATGCAAAACTGAAATAAAATGCATACTAAAACATACATTTTGTTTACCTGCATGTCATATGGCGGCTAACTGACAGCTTTAAACGAATACATAAGTAAAATAACTATTTGGATTTCGAAAAACTGAAAAAGTAAATAGCATAATGGGAATTGACACTTTTATGAGAATGTATTTATTAAAACAAGATTTGTTACTGTTTTTTTCATGACATCAAATGTACTGACAGAGTGGTGTGAACCACAAGCCTGCGTCTGGCACTTTGAGAACAGTCACAGAACCTCAGTCAAATCTCAGACTGTTTGCTGGTTCAAAGCCATTTCTCGCTGGAATGTCACCTCAGAGTTGCTATAGAAAACCTCAAACACTTACATACGAACACACACAAATCCCAGTCACACATCTGGCAAAGCTCCACACCTACAGTTGTAGACATGTTCTAATGTATATATATTTTTTTTTTTGAAGGATGAGAAGTATTGGAGTCGGCGTTGTAAGAACAACGAGGCCGCAAAGCGTTCTCGCGATGCTCGTCGACTGAAGGAGAACCAGATCTCTGTGCGCGCCGCCTTCCTCGAGCGTGAGAACGCTTCACTCAGACAGGAAGTAGCCGACATGCGCAAAGAGCTCGGCCGGTGTCGTAACATCCTGAACAAATACGAGAGCCATCACTTGGATCAATAAGAAGGAGAGGAAGAAAACGCAAAACCAGATGATGGATGGAGAACGCAATGAATGTTCCTATGATAGTCACGCTGAAAGACAGATGGAAAGTGCATCAAATATGGAAGGATGTCTGAAGACGGCACAAGAGCTCAAGTTTCAAACTGGAGTGAGAGAGCATGTCACCTCTCTTAACTTTTTTTTTTCCTAGTAAGGTACAATGGCAAGATTTTAATTATGGAGAGAAATGTATATTTTTATAAGATAGAACAATGCTTAATGGTGAAAGGAAAATTTTGAAATTAATTTTTGTATATTTTCTATATCTTTGGGAGGGCTGTAAAGTATAGACGGAGGGAACTGGTTGAGGTATCACTGTAATTTAAAATTAATTGATGAGGTATTTTTAAAGCGATCAACTCAAATTGAAGCCTAGACTTTCACAGAACTTTAAAGATTTAGAAAATAACTTTCTAGAGAAATTCAACTGTAAAATACAGAGAAAAAACATATACCTTTAAATTTGTATAAAAATGTTAATATAGATTTATTCAAGCACTTAAGTTGTAATAAACCTGTGTGTAATATTTTGGCAACGGTGACCGAGGACAACCAAGGATGAGTGGAAATGACAGGTGCATCTCAACTCTTTGGGGAAAAACATTGTTTATCAGTTCACTGCTGATATTTATTTGTCATTCTCAAAGGAAAACTAAACATGTAATGATGATAAGGAGATGGTACAGAAAGACATGCATTAATTGTCACATATTTTATTGCCATTTTTGTGTTTATTTCCTTGGTGAACTCTGTAGGATTCTTCTCCTGTCTACAATTTACTCATCTTTTTATAGGAATCTGACTCACAGTTGCAAACAAAAAACAGCTTTTTAGCAACAGCACACATCCACAACGTGCAGATCGTAAGTGAACTTGCAGAGGCTGTTCTTGCTGTGCAAAAACACAATTTGGACCTCTATGGATTGAATATATATATATATATATATATATGGGACGTGACTTTCATCTGATTGTACAGAATGATTTCTTATATTGGAAGCACGGGAAATTGCATTTCAAAACAGGTTGACATGTAGACATTTGGCTATGTCTGCGCTTGTGCTGGTTTTGCACCTGTATATGCAAACACATTGAAGCCAATGAGCGCTCTTACTTTTATTGAAACAATATTGAATTTTTACAACCTGTTTACTGGTGTCAGTACAAATGTTTCAAAATCTATTAGTTTTGTGGTTCTCCAGTCATGTCTGTTTCTTTCCTTAACGACCATTAAAGTAACTTCACTTATTATGAATTATTATTGATCTGATCATTATTATTACTATTGTTGTTAATACTACGAATGAATTATTATTTTTGTTGTTTTATTTCCTTGATATTGTCTCTTTTATGTTCCTTTAAAGAACCCCCCCCCCCCACACACACACACAAGTCTCCTCTCAGCTGTGGAGATTTTGTCAGTTCCTCTTTGTTACAGCATTCATCGTCAACACCAGTTATAGAAGAAGTGTTGCCCTGACAGCCAGTTTAATTTGTGTATCAAAGGAACACTGGGAGAAAAAAAAATAACTGGTGCCCTAGGTGATCACAAACTGCTTCCCCGAAATAAATGGATTTTGTTCTCTTTATTTCTGAGCACTAGCATTATAAAGACCCATCATACCATTTGCTCTGTCTTTCTCTTTTTTGTGCATGTAGGTGTTTTAGCAAACCGCCTTTTTTACCCAGTAATTTGCTGCCTGTTTCTCATCAGTGACAATATACTTTTTGCAGATGGATGTTGGGGTAATGTAGTCCTTACTTTTCTGCACTTCCACATGTGGATGACTATGAACATTTTGTGTTGTGACTCTTGTTTTTTTGATGTACAAATGCCCTAATGCATCAGTGTTACCCACACTGCACCTAGCCAAAGTAATGCAGGGGAATGTAGTCTTTTTCTCCAAGACCACAAATAAACTCTTGTTCTTACTCACTAAACACTAAGGTTGATTATTTTGTATGTCGTTTGTGCCTATTCTGTGCTACCAAGTGTAGTATCTTCCACTTCCTTACTAAAAAAATTGGTCATTAATAAAGCTCAGATCCGGATGATGTGTGTTCTTGAATTTTAATCGGCATGAAGGAAGCACCGCAAACAGCAGTCTGTCAAACAGATGTAGCTTGCAGAAAACCTTTCTACCATCAAACTAATACACACAATGCTGTCATGAACTGCAGCTCAAAAAAGGCTGTGCCCTTACACACAAATATTTCTAAATATTTAACTATATAAGATGTTTACACGTCTAGTACAATTATGTGGTTTTGTTTCATTAATACAGTGTATACTTTTTTCTTGATTTCCCCCCGAAAGAGTGGAAGTGACATGTGACAACATGCCCCATAGGTGGGGTACATTGTAATGACTGCTTAAAATGTTGTCTGGTCTAATCGAAAAATATACAAGACAAACTAAAATATTTTCTTAATAAAATGCAATTATGAACTTTTTTCATATAAAATAATGGCATTTTTTAATCATTAAAAATAAACTGATTTTTGAGTTTGACAATGAACACACTGGCAAACACAGCTATACAACATACGTAGTATAAATCTAATAATAATAATTAATCCTTTCTGAACATTGATTCTCAGTCTTTATTCACCTTTTTCTCATTGTTTCTCAACAGAATTCATATAGAATAGCATAGTTCTAATAGGGGCACATGTACCGCAGTGTTACAACTTGCCCCACCTGTGTAACTGGGATTTAAACCAGTGTCTTCTGCTGGTTAGATCAGCATTAAAGAATTATCTCAACTGTTAAATAACAGATTGGAGATTAAAATAATATCAAATGTGTCTAATTTTAAATAAACACAAAAAACAGAGATGAAAAATTAACATAAGTAAGAAATTTACTTTTGCTATGGTTAAATAAATGGTCAGTGATATCTTCCAAAGATTTCTGAATTTTGGCGTAATTTTTTCTCTATATAGTGTTGATATGGCAACTAGTAAATGCACTAAGTTTCGTCATGCTAGCATGTGTGGAAGTATTTAAAACAAGTGTGTTACAACGTGCCCCGCTCTCCCCTACAGTAAATGAAGAGGTACTCAAATATATAAAATCATACAAAATAGGGTAGAAAGATATTTGTGAAGAAAATTAATGGGAAAAAGAATTATATATATATGCATATATATATATATGCGTATATGCTAATATAATATTTCTTGTTTCAGTTTGTTCCCCTAACAACTTATATTTATTTTTTTTCTTAGTTTTTTAAAGCAGGGATCTTATGGTCTTGGGAAGCCTGGATATAATGAGGGAGTTTTAAAAGTGTGACCTACAAAGTCATGTAAATTAATCAAATTTATATTTATATCATAAATATAATTTTTTTAGTTATGTCAAGCTAAAATGTTTAATTGGATCAAAAAAAATCTTTAATCACAAATGATTATTGGTAATAAAAAATCATAAATAATTATGGAATTTAATTATTTGTATTATTTATAATTATTTTGTTTAATTATTTCAATTAATTTATAACATTAAACATTTAATATTATAATTGATAATATTTCTATAAATATTTAAACAATTAATTTAACTCCCACTCTTTGGAACGGTAATGTTCAGTATTATGGATCTCTTATTTGATATTCTGTTCCTTTCCTTTGGTTCCTGTTTCCCTGATCTGTTATGTCCCAATTCGGCTACTATTGATTTCCACTAGAGGGCAGTCCTCTTGTCTCCTTGGGTTTCCCATCATGAAATAGAGGGAATGCATTAACGTCACTTCCCCGCCGGAACACGCCCCCCTCAGCGGAATTGTTACGAACCTCCAGTGGAACGTCCAGGGAGGGAGGAGGTTGGCAACAATAATAAAACCATTTCGGGTTGAAGGAACAAAGGATACCGATTTATCAACAAGTATGGCGTTTATTTACAACATTAAATAACCAAAAGGTACAACAGATACAAAAAGGTAAGTATCAAAAAGGTACAACAAAAAACAACTACAAACACTAGTATTTACCACCCTCTCTCCACCGAGAGAGTAAACCCCAGCACGAGGGTCAGACTTGTTACACACTACTGCACGGACTCCACTAACGCCACTGCAGTATCACCCAGCTCCGGTACGCTGTCTGTATAGAGACGTCTGTTCTCCACACACTCCTGTATCAGTCTGCCTGTTCTCTTCCCTTTGTAACAGCTCCCGCTCTCCTGCTGATTGCCAACAGGTGTGCACACTAGCTGATTGCCAATTGGAGACAGGTGTGCCCACAGGACCTGCAGAAGACAGACAAACAGCAGTACACCTGGGCAGACACACACACACACACACACACACGTAACACTCCCCCCCATAAAATCAAACTAGGGGTTTGACTAAGGATAAGGTCACAATTCACTACCACGAGAAACAGAACAAAACAAAAAACACTCCCACCTAATCTCAGACATCTCCCATCCCCCCCAGCGGATGAATAAGGAAACTTCTCACCCGCGAGACAATGCGTCGGCTATCACGTTGTCAGCTCCTTTCTTATGACGGATCTCCAAGTTGTAACCCTGCACCAACAGAGCCCACCTCATCAGGCGTTGGTTGTGGTTATACATTTGGGACAAGAAAACCAAAGGGTTATGATCTGTAAATACAACAACTGGAGAGGGGTTATAACCAACATAGACTTCAAAATGCTGCAAAGCAAGCAGCATTGCGAGGGTTTCTTTCTCTATAGTGGAGTAATTGAGCTGGTGTTTCTTGAACTTGACAGAGAAGTAGCTAACCGGATGACAGACATCTCCTTCTCCATCCTGCAACAGCACAGCACCAGCGCCGGTGGCACTCGCGTCCACCTCGAGCTTAAAGGGAAGAGAAAGGTTTGGCGCAGCCAGGACAGGGGCACAACAGAGAACAGATTTCACTGCTTCAAAAGCATGTTGACATTCGTCCGTCCACAGAAACGGAACAGTGGGACTACACAAACTAGTCAGAGGGGCGACAACTACTGAGAAGTTTTTGCAAAAACACCTGTAATACCCAGTCATACCAAGGAAACGACGGAGCTCACGTCTAGTTGTAGGGGCTGGGTAGGTTAGTACAGCAGTAACCTTGGCGTCAACAGGGCAGACCTGGCCATAGCCCACCTGCTTACCCAAGTACGTCACGGTGGCCTTTCCAAACTCGCACTTCGCTAAGTTCAGTGTCAGTGACGCTGCCGCTAACCTCTGGAACACCTCGGCCAAAATTGACATGTGACTAGTCCAATCGTCTGTGTACACTACCACGTCATCTAGGTAGACATTACAATTTGGGACAGTCCCTAATACTATATGCATCATGCGCTGAAATGTTGCAGGCGCATTTCTCAGTCCAAAAGCCATAACCGTATACTGCATGAAGTGGTCAGGGGTAACAAATGCAGAGATATCAGATGCCCGAGGGGTTAATGGCACCTGCCAGTACCCCTTCAGCAGGTCTAACTTAGTGATGTATTCCGCGGGACCAATACTATCAATGCAGTCCTCCATCCTGGGCAAAGGGAACGAATCTGGGACTGTTACTGCGTTTACCTTACGAAAGTCTGTACAGAAACGTAGCGTACCGTCAGACTTAGGGGTAAGTAAACATGGGGAACTCCATGGGCTACAGCTGGGCCTGGCTAACCCATTGCGTATTAAGTAATCAACTTCATCTTTCATAATATCTCTCTTAGCCAGCGGACAACGATAGGCATGCTGCTTTATTGGGGCAGCTGTCCCAATGTTGATATCATGATGCAGTACAGTGGTCTGGGACGGCACATCGCTAAACAGAGAGAGATGAGAAGTTATTAACAACATAACATCATCACGTTGAGCTGGGGAGAGGTAGAATAAATGTGCCTCTAGGTCGGACAAGAGCTCCGAATTGGGCAACCTACCACCCTGGTGACCTTCACCGAGTCCTGCTAAACCATCGTCAGGTTCCGCCCCGTCACAAACCAAGGAAGCAATGGTGTTGCCTGGAGCAGCAGTCTCCGGAGTTACTTCCTGCTTCACCTGAGCCGCTTCTCTGGAATGATAGGGCTTCAACATATTAACGTGACACAGGCGTTTCTTTCTTTTACGGTCAGGTGTATGAATGATGTAATCAGTTTCCGACACTTTGTTTTCCACCACATAGGGTCCTGAAAAACGAGCAGTAAGGGCAGCGCCGAGCACAGGGAGTAAAACCAATACTTGTTCACCTGGTTTAAATTGCCGTTCAACTGTTTTTCTGTCGAACCGCTGCTTCATGCCTTCTTGTGACCGAGCTAGAGCCCTCTTTGCCAGGGAGGTGGCACGGTGCAACCGCTCCCTGTTTTGGGATACAAAATCCAATACATTAACCTTCGGCAAGGAGCTAGACACCAACTGTTCC